CTTCTGGCCCATCGAGAGAGACACCCTGATGCCGCAATCTTTTTTGAGGAGGTGGACCAAGAGTTCGAGAGAGCGCGGGTAAAGTTTGAGATAGAAAAAAAGAAAGGGCAGGAAGCGAGGGAACACAGGGGACCGAGGATGGCATGTCAGGACGTAGTGATTTATGAGTTGCGATTGAAGAGGGAAGTGAAGGAGACAAATTGCTTCTGATGAAGGAGAGCACGGATGGGGTAAACCTGTTTTCCATTTTTTTGTTCTTTTTTTAAAGCGTGTGTTTTGGTGATGAGAGAGGAGCGACTGTGTACTTTTGGGATGGGTCGCACAGCCGTCCGCCCCTAATTTCGCATGTTCTGGTATACCTGGACATGTCGCTTTCTTGGCAATACAACTTCTCACTTCGACACTTCTTCTTTGACCGACTTAATCCGAAAAAGAGTTTATAAGCCTGTGTCCGCCGAAATTTATGCATTATTTGCTTAGGGTCCCAGCTTAATCATGAAGACGTCCTGGATGTCAAAAGCCGTAAGGGTTGCGGCTCCAATGACCACGTTTTCTTGAAATTGACCGGTACTGTAAGATATTCCGGACGCATCGACAGTTCCCTGATGAGAAATCGCTGCCACCAAAGTTTTGTGCCTACGAGGGGACGCCAGCAGAGTCTACCTTCAAGAGAAACGTCGCTTCGCTTCCCAGCAGGATGAAGGAAATGCTTCTTACAGTCAGATTTCCTTCAACACAACCAATGACGTTACCCGAAGTATCTACACCAATGCTGTCTCCACGCGCAAATCCAGTGCTTGTAAAATTTTTAAAGCCCATGTAGGAGTACCTGTAGAATCCAAAGCGATAATGTAGATGGCGTCTGAAAGAGACGTCAGGTTATTGTTACGCACAAACAGGCGCCCGACAAAGATCCCGGTGGTGTAGGAGTTGCCGGATGCATCCACAACGATGCTATCCTCGCGGTTCACCAGTACCCCTAAAAGTTTTCGCTCAAGTCGGCTCCCCGTTTAAATCCAACTCGATCATATAGATACCTTGGAAGCCAATATGTGGGAGAACGGTGCTACCCACAGACCAGGTTTCCTTGGAAAAATTCGGTGGTAAAGCTTATATTGCCAGATCCATCGACAGCAATACTAAGCCCCTTGTCATCCAGGGTACTGCCAAAGCCCTATACCTATATAGGGTTTTCAGTGAAATCTTGTTTGATCACGAAAATATCCGGTCCTTCAACAGCCGTGAGAGTGGTGTTACCAACGCGCATGGTTTCCTCGAAAGCTCCTGTGATGTAGAAATTGCCCGATGAAACCGCAGCGATGCTCTAACCGGATGGATACCCTGTAATCCCAATTTTTTGTCTCATTAACATGGTGCAATGCAGCAGCCGCAGCGTTAAATGTGAGACATATACTATTGCTGTTTATGCCACTGTCCTCCATGGGTGACATCAAGAAGTCTGTCATCTGAGGGACCCATGACACTACGAGAGAGGCAAGAGGGCCCATAGTGAAAGTCATTCTTTCGTAGCGATGTTTGAAAATTGAACTTGTCTGGAGCCCGAGCGGCCGAGCTGTGACGATGGTGCACCAGGCATCTCGCTTTAGTTTGGGTGCTCTTATCCCTTGTGTGGACACAGCATAAAACTAAGACCGCCCCTTGTTTGTGTGGCAAGGTTCAGACTGATGTGCCAGCAAGGTTGCTATGGGATGGGGGGCTGCTCTTGCTCGTGACACCATCTTCATGTCATGATTCGCGGAGGTATGTCGACGATGACACACACTCTGCACTTTTATTTTCTCCTCCGCGTGATATTACGTCTTATTTCTTAAATTCCTCCCATTCTCGTTTCTTTCAAAAAAGCTGCTGTCTCGTTTAAAAGCTCACAAATATGTTAACAACTACTAAAAGAGTGTTGTTTAATGCTCTGAGGATACAAAGCTGAGATGGAATCATGCCGCTTGAGCATACAATAGAAAGCTATATCAAAAGTCGTGGTCTCAGACCCGCAAAAGTATACATGCAACGTAAACAATTGCGAACCTCCACAAACGACCAATTTATTTTCCTCCTGTTCTTCGAAGCTGGTGATCTACTGCTCCATTTACCACTTCTTTTATTAGGACAGACACCTTTCCCCCACATGTGAAGTGAGTCTGCGTGGAGTACTGTTTCACTAGAATTATAACCTGGGGCATTCCATTTTTACATGCAATATGTATAAAAACGAAAAAATTGATTGTGGTGCTCAATTTTCTGTCCATGGTAGTTTCAAACAAATCGGAACTTCCAAGGCACGATGTTTTACCCGCAGAGAAATCCGGGAATCTGCAAAAGTCAAACGCTTTGTTATTTGAAATATATTTTCGTAAATATAAATTGTTTATATTATTGCCACTTGAATAGGGTATCAGAATAGACAGTGGCTGTTTCATGTTTCTCATATTAATTAGAATCATCATTCATAATTGTCGCTGTATCTCACGGTCTGAGCAAGTACTATATGGTCTATAGCGAGGAGGACACACGTCAACAACCTACAAGGCAGTGACGATGTGCAATTAAAGCGATCAGGTATGCGTCCGCAGGAGAAGGTAAGAGAACTGCTTCGATACAGGGTAGAAGGATGGTGAGCGAGGCAGACCGTCCAAATCTGACCGACAAAGAGTACTTTGTCGATTGTGTAATCAATGCTTTTATGATTCAGATTTATATTCTACCCATCCTCAAGATAACTACATTTATCTCCTCATTTTACTCCGATGAGAAAGGCCTCTATGTCCCCCCCACTTGTGGTTTTCCCCTCCTTCCTGCCTCCGAGCGCAGTGTCCACAATACCTTCTCTTCACCTCGCTGGCGAAAAAGTAACGATTTGAGGACC